TTCATTAATTTTGAAAAATGAATGACCTTCTAAAATCAAACCCCTCACCTTAATATCTAAATATTTAAACGCTCTTCTAAATTTCATTAATTTTGAAAAATGAAAAATTTATCCTTTATAAGACCAAAGTGAGATTGGTTACTACCATTTATCCCTTCCATATTTCAGTCATCAAAATATATCAAATAAGATCATTTATTGCCCATTTAGCCCTTTGGTTAAGCCTAAATATTAATTAAGCCTTAAACTCCAAAATTACCCTTTTGCCCCTAAGGCCTTAAGACCCCATAATTCATTAAATTAGACTCCAATGACTTGAAAATTTTATTTTACCACTCATGGGTTAATTAAAACATCAGATGAGAAAATGTGTTTTTTCTGAATTTATTAAATTTTATAATTATTTTTAATGCAAAAATAAGGATTTTAAATGAAAATTTAATAACTCAATCAAAATAAAACCTTTATCCTTAAGAAAATTGTTGGAGGTGAACCTAGGTTAGAGGACCACTTTGACCAATTTTCATGATATTTAGAGATTTAATTTAATTATTAGAATTATTTGTTTGTTTAGAGCATTAATTAAATATAAAATACTATTTAAGTAGAAAATTAAGTTTTATATTTTTATTAAATTTCACTGAGTTCAGGGAAACCAAAGAAGCAAATTTCATATTTTTTTAATATATGTTTTAATTATTGGAATTATTTTAGTCAAAAATTAGAGAAAATTCATTTTTAAGCCTTTAGAAATTAATATCTTGACTTAGAAAATTAGAAAAAATTATTTTAATTGGTTCTAGGTGATCAACAAGCCAAATGTGACATTTTAGTGTGTTTTTATAATTTTACAATTTTTATAATTTTTAATTGATTTTAAATTATTTAAATGCTTAAGAATAGCTCAAAAATGAAGTGTTTATTTTAATTCCAATTTTATTTTTCTTAGGTTCCTCTAGTTATAAAGTGCTCCCAAAACCTATTTTAATATTTTTTTAGTTGTAATTTAATTTTTATAATTATTTTAATGCCAAAAATGTGATTTCACTTAATTAATCTATTTGAATAATCAAATCAACTCCAATTGACTTGAAACTCCAATTGACTTGAAATTTTTATGGGGAGCTCCTCTAACATTAAATTACAATGGAGAATAATTTTCATGTCATTTACATTTATAATTACTTCAAAATAATTTTATTTCATTTTTTTGGGTTTGGTGACAATTAGGATTATTTTAAATGATTTAAATCAAGTTTATATTTTTCCTAGGGTCCTCTGACCATAGTGAACCTACCAAAATAAATTTTGTATTTTTCTGATGAGTATTTTAATTTTTATAATTATTTTACCAAAATAGGCATGATATACTTGAAAAATAGAGATATTTGTCTAGAGATCTTTCCTGACCTTAGAAAAATTAGAGAAGATCCCTCATGACAGAGAGAACCAAAGACCAAGAATTAGAGAAGATCCCTCATGACAAAGAGAACCAAAGACCAAAAAATTAAGTCATGGTGAAATGTCTATGCAAATGAAGAATCAAAATAAGAAAACAACATTTAATTAATTAAAAATCATACATGCATCAAAAAAATATGAAACTATTTCCACATTGTTCTCCTTTGTTCACTGAGCAAGAGGGTATTTTTATTTTATTTTTGTGATTTTTTGACACACAGATATGAATTTTCTAAGTTCTGGCCATTAAATAATTCAAATAAAAGCCTATTTTTCTACTTATCCACCGCAACGCCACATCATCCTCGACGTCTCCGAAGCTCCACGAGGCGCTCTCCCATTCGTCGCCGCCACCTGAGTCAGCTTGACCTTTATGAACCGAAGACCCATTCGACGCGATCTCAGTCGTCCATGTGATACACGAGCAATCCAATGATTGAGGGTCATCGTCCCCAACCGGTTCAACCTGAGAGTCGTCCACCTTAAAACCCTAATATCTCGAGCCACACTTGACCAATAACTTGACCAATACACTTTGGGTTTGATCCTATAGACTCGTCTAAGTGAGACGAAACTATCCATACGGCTAACCTAATATGAAATCGATTTTGTGCTCATGGAGAATTAAAATAAGCTCAGGATGAGGGAAAAACAGTATACCTTGGTCCAAGAGGGAAGCCTTGATTGAATGCTTGGAGAAGCTTCGTGGAGGTCCAAAGAGGAGGTCCAAAGAGCTTGAGGATGAAGTCTCTGGTCGTGGTGAATTGTCTAGACCCATGTTCAACCAAGGGTCAAAGTCCACGTTGGTCAAAGTTCACCCTAGGGTGCTCTGGTGATGGGACTTTTGTGGGGGATCTTCTTCTCTCAATGTAGGGATGGTGTGGGTGCAATTATTTTGAATTTGATGGAGATTTTGGAGATGTCCTCTTTCAGCCTCAAATTAGGGTTGGAAAATTGGCTTTGTTCAGTGGAGGAGAGGGCTGGGGAATGGTTGCATTGCACTTAGGAGGTCTTGAAGAAGCCCTGAAATTGCAAAAATCTAATTGGGATGAGGCAGCTTGGATGGGTTTAATTTTGATTTTTAGCCATGAGGGAGCCCTTGGCCATGACTTTTCCGACAGCCTAGGTGGTCGGCCGGCCAGGCTCAGGCCACCATCCAGTCAGGGAGGTCAGGGCTTAGGTTTGATGAAGTCAATTGGGGTTGACCATGTGTAATGCATTGAATTGAAATAGTATAGGGGAATGGTTATTTTGGGTCAATTTGGGTCAAATCATGTTTTGTGGATGGGTTCACCCCTCAATGCTGGTTTGGGTGCTGAGGAAAATCAGAATGTTCAGCTTAATTGAGGTCTCTATCCAAGGAGATTTGGCTAAACATGGGTTAGAGTGATTCATGGGAGGGGTTAAAAGAATCTTAACGATATTTGAAAGTATCTTGGTCTCTTTCCACTAATGGTATGGTGATGTGGCATAGCTCTCATGACTTATCTATGGCTTGGGAGTGGCTTCATGGCTTGGCTTATTTTCATGAGAAGGTATTTTTGAATTTATAAGATACTTTGGTGGATTTTGGCTAGATTTTGAATTTAGGACTTTTAGGATGATTTTAATCAAATGGATGATGAAGAGAAAGAATTGTCATATGACTTTGGATTTGGGCTTTTGAAATTAGATGTAGTGGGCTTGGGCTTTTGAAATTGAGGTTGAATTTGAGCTAATTGAATGTTGGGTTTGGTGTAGGAGTATTTCATGAAGAGTTTGGAAAAATTTCAAGTGATTTTGAATTGAATTAGGGGGCTAATTTAGTGGATTTAAGCATATTGTCAAAATTGGGGCTTTTTGATTTGGATGAAATTGAGCTTGCAATTGGATCAAATTGGGCTTGAATTTTGTTTAAAGTATGATTGGGGATGCTAAATTTTGATTTGGAATTGAAATTGGGCAAGATTAGAGCTATTTTGATTTGGAATTGAAATTGGGCAAGATTGGAGCTAATTGGGGTTAATTTGAGGACATTTGGGACTTTAAGAGCAAATTAGGGCTCTTGGCCAAATTGGGTTAATGTGATGGCTAAAAATTGAAATTGGGAATATTTGGGATGATTTTGTAATTTTTGAGAATTTTTGACATGTTTGGAATTTTTAGGTCATGAGGGGCATTTTTAGTAATTTTGGCAATTTTTAGGGGTAGTTTGGGAAATTGGTGATTTTGTTGAATTTTAGTCAATTTAGGTAGTGGCCAGTGGTTTGAGATGATTTTTGGGCAAATTTTGGGATTTTTGGCAAAACTTGGGTTTGTTGAGGTATATTTGATAATTTGGTGATTTTGGGCCAAAATGGGCCAACAAGCCATTAAGTCATGCCAAACCAATAGAAGTCATATGATGATTCATTTTGGATGCTCAATATGTTGGCTCTAACCCTCTTAGCCAAAGACCAGGGATATAGGTCCATCTATATGAGCTTTCCAAAAGACGTCAGGAGACCAACCTAAGGGGTCCTAGGATTTGGGGTGTGTAAGAAAGTGTGTGCAAGCTAGCCCAACCAAAACCAAATCACCCAGGGTTAGTTCTAAGGTCTGAAATCCTATATGGGACTCCCCTTGAGCTCCTCCATATTGACCCCACCTACTAAGTGTTAGAGGTTAGGGGACCAACACGTGGAACTTCACTTCAAGTTGAGTAAAGAATGGTTTAGAATTTCTAATGGTGAGGGTTCCCTTTCTAGGCCTCTAGGAATAGTCAACAGAAAAGTGTTATGGCTAAACCCTAGACTACTAAACAGAAAAAAAAACTAGACCTCAACAAAAAATGAGGTCAACAAGCCTACTTAATTCTTTCTCACTTTGGAATTTAAAGAAAATTAAGTTGTGTTAAAAAAATTAAGTTGTGCTAAAAAAAATTAAGTTGTGCAATGCAAATTAGTTTAAAGTTTACTCCTATAGAAATTCAAATTATACTACTTGATTTGGTTATGATCACGTGTTAAAACTACCTTCCCTTCCAGTGATAGTAGTGGAGTGAAGAAAATGAGAAAATACAAATTGAAATGTGGCTAGTGACAAATAGAAGCAATTATCTTATTTACCCTTCTCGAGTGCATAAAAAAGTTTTGTTAAAGTGGCCTTAATTCCTTAAGCCCCACTTTGAACCCAACAACGATTATCTCCTTATATATTTGCATCTCCCTATGGTGTACTTTTGCTTCGTATTCTATAGTTCAACTAGATCTTCCTAGTTGTTCATTTCATGGCTCTCCCGAGTCATTATGGGTTCACAAAGGATTTTTAAAAACCATTTGGTCAGAATGATGGGTAAATGAAATGCAGAAGGAAAATCATCACATCAAAAGGTTAAAGACAATTTAAAATCATTTTCACATTCCTACAGATCCTACTACATTACCACAAGGAAAATGTAGAGAAGATTACTCAGAAAACATAGAGAAAAAACCAGAAGCCTTCATTGAAACAGATACTTCACATACTGAAGTATTTACAGAAAATACAGTACTTAAACACAATAATACTTATCTCTCTCCCTCAAAAACGCATTGAGAATGCTCCACAAATGCTCTTGTTGCTTTCCTACTCTCCTTACTTTAACACTCAGATCCTCACCAATTCTCTACTCTATACTAGTTATCTCTAGCCTAGAGCAAGCCTTCTACTTTAAAGATATCTTTTTCAAAAGCAGAGGAACTTCCCTTCTTTCCTTTCCCAGAAGCTCTCTGTAAAACTCTCCAAGTCTTCTTTAAATAGCCTATAATATACTCTATTCAAATTGCCTGCATTCCGCCCAAACAACGATTCGAACAGGTAGGTCGAACTACTGTGATTGCATCAGATTCGGTTCTGGCACCTAGGCACCCAATAATTCAGGCGCCAAGACCATGACCTTCACATCTGGGGCCTTAGCACCCAGTGGGTGGTGCTTAGGCTCCAACATCTTGGATTGCATGGATTGCAGCTGGCACCAAGGCGCCCAAGAAGTCTGGCGCAAAGGCCCCAACCCACTAAATTGCATTTTGCTCTATTTCACTTCCTTTTCGCTTCATGTCTCTTCCAATTCCCTCCACTTCTAATACCTGTCATACTTGCAAGAAATATATAAAGTGCAATTTCATCAAAAAAGATGTGCAAAATATAAAGGATTTCATGCAATATTTTCACATATCAGTGGGTTAATAAAATTAGAGCATACTGATTACAATCTAAAAGATATTAATTCATTAATCCAATGGCAAATGCATTTAAATCACATGCCCATACTTTCCAATCGATGAATGGGGAAAGCGAACACATCTTTAACATATATATGTAGAAGATAGTCTTGCCCAACATAAATTGCTTGAGGGAGTAAAACTGTATTTATTTATTTACCAAATTAAATAAAAAAAATAGAAAATTTACAGAGATCATAAAAGTCAAAAAGTTGAATTGGTTGAATTATTACTAGCTCTAATGTATTTATCCATCCACTTTTAATGAAGTTTCAACTAATATATTAGTTGGCTTCATGAAATAATTCATAAATCTCTACTTCAGATGATTAGAATATTCATAATTATTTTGGTTATTATTGGCAGTATTGATTATTTTTTACAATCTATCTATATATCAGAGCATCAGCTTTCTCTTGTCGGCATGTGATCAATACCATTATAGCAGTATTACTAGCTGCGACTTTATCCAGCCATCAACAAAATGCTCATTTCCCTTTCCAGATTTGAATAATGTCATTAAGTTGATTTGAACTTGTAAATAATCTTAATTTCATTCATGACTTAGGATCCAAATCAAAGGATAATAGCAGGTCAAATTAACGCCAGCTGGAGGAAAATTCAGGCATGAAGGCGTTGGGAACTGCACGCATAGGAGACAGACGTTTGGAGCCAATCACCAAAGACATCTTTCAATGTATCGAAACTATAAAAGGCGGCAATATTCACTTGTGTTTTGACCGCTTTGAAGCGTAGGCAGTTAGGCGGCATCCATGACATCCGCCATGAATGTCTCCCTTCTTCTGCTTCTGACTTTCGCTGTCTGTGGTCAAGCCGATGGTTTTGCTACTAAGCCTTCGTGGCGAAGTGGGATGGAGAACAGGTTGGTTGGCTACCCTCATGTTGCAATAAAAATGAGTACTAAATAATTATTTTTTTGGCTTTAAGGTTGCAAGCCGATGATGGTTCATTTCGCTTCGAAGAGACCACCATTTCTGACATCCAAGCCGCCTTCAATGACGGCCGACTCACTTCCTCCCAGCTTGTTGAGTACTACCTAGACCAAATAAGAACCCTCAACCCCTACCTCAATGCTGTTATTGAGGTCAATCCAGATGCACTCGATGATGCAGCCAAAGCCGACTTTCAGCGCAATGCCTACAGCCATCTCAGCCCTCTACACGGCATCCCCGTTCTTGTCAAGGACAACATAAACACCCACGACAAGCTCAACACCACCTCAGGATCCTTTGCTCTTCTGGGCTCTGTCGTGCCCCGAGATGCCGGTGTCATTCAACGCCTCCGAAATGCTGGTGCCATAATTCTAGGTAAAGCAAGCATGAGCGAGTGGGACAATTTTCGAGCACTAGATGCGCCACAAGGGTGGAGTCCACGAGGGGGCCAAGGCCAAAATCCTTACTCTAAGGCAATAAATCCATGTGGAACCAGCAGCGGTTCTGCCATAGCGGTGGCTGCAAATCTAGTGACAGTTTCTCTTGCAACGGATTTGGATGGCGCTATCACGTGCCCTGCAGTGGTAAACTCGGTGGTGGGCATCAAGCCCACGGTTGGGCTAACAAGCCGATCAGGGATGGTTCCCATCTCCCCGAGGCTACAAACCATAGGGCCAATGGCACGAACGGTGGCAGATGCAGTGGCACTTTTGGATGTCATCATGGGTTTCGATCCGCTAGACGCCGAGGCGACAGAGGCTGCAGAGAAGTTTATTCCGAAGGGCGGATTCTATAAGTCCTTAAAAGAGGACGGGCTGAAGGGTAAGAGAATTGGGATTTTGCGTCATCCCTACGTTGACATGTACCCGATAGGATCCATGGAGGCTAATACATTTGCGGCAAATCTTCAAACCATGAGGTGAATAAATTTTCTCCCCGTTAACAAAAGATTATTAAAGTAATCTTCTTTTTTTATGCATTTCAGATCGTTTATCAAATTTGAGAAAAGAGTTTCAAGCAATGATGTTTTGTTCTTAGAATAAAATGACAAATCTATGAATCAAGATATATAAGCATATGGTCACAAATAGTCTACTAAGTACAAGAAATTCTAAGAACTCATTTTTAAATAGAGCAAGTATTGTTTGATAGATTGTTTATGATATTCAAGAAAACAACAAAATTATAAATATGTTTGATTTAGATACTATTATTCCATTAAATCTTCCTAAATTAAATAAGGAATTGTGGTATCAAATAAAAAGTGAACGCAAAGTAAACGATATATGAATGAAAATGTTAATAAATTTAAATTTCAAATATCATGTTACAGATTAAAAGGTGCCATCTTAGTGGACAATCTTGAAATGAAGAATAGAGAAATCATGGAAAATATTACTTTAAATGGTGAAATCGTTTCACTATTGGCTGAATTCAAGCTGTCACTCAATGCCTACCTCGATGATCTCGTGTCCTCCCCTGTACGATCTCTTGCAGATGTCATAGCCTTTAACAACAACCACTCAATTGAGGTAATTTATAATTGCCCCCATATTTATATTGTAATTGAAATGCATGTATTTGGCATGGAAGCCACTTAATTAACTTAATTTTTTTCATTATCAATTCATGTAGGAAAAAATAAATGAATATGGACAAATAGTCTTCTTGGTATCACAAAAAACAAATGGGATAGGTTTAGCAGAGAAGGAGGGCATAGAAACAATGGCACAACTCTCTAAAGAAGGCATGGAGGGTCTAATGAAACAAAAAAGTTTAGATGCTGTGTTGTTCCCTGAACATTATGCTTCAAATGTAATGTCTCTTGGAGCCTTTCCCATTATCAGTGTTCCAGCTGGATACAATAGCACCGGTGAACCTTTAGGTATTTCTTGGTATTTCTTTTGCTGGATGGATTGCAAGGTTCAGATGCCATATTGATTGAGATAGCTTATGCCTTTGAACAAGCTACCCAGGCCAGAATTCCACCTCCAACACTAGTTTGATTATAAAAATAAATTGTAAGTTACGAACAAAAACGAGAATATTCATAACAATGCATCATGTTTCTAAACAAATGATAAAATTAATGGATATTTGAGTTATTTCTTGTATTCTGAGCCTAAATAATGTCCTCATCAATTTTACTTCATAAAAAAATTTTGTTGAAATATAATTCTCATATTCTTTTTCTTCATATTTGGATATGGATTTGATCTCATTTGTAGCTATTATATTTTATTTGTTTACTTTATTAAATTCTCATTCTAACGGGATTTTTGATAAGGAAATTTATCAATGGTATTCTAATGGGGTGCATTCTTGTCGAACGTGTTTTTGATGGGTAGCTACCTGTTAGTTTATGACCAGTGAAGAACTGACAGATAACCATTGATTTTAAAACAGACAGGCGAGGCCCATCAAATTGTTGAAAATTGAGAGCACGTAGGTTGGCCGTCAAAAAACTATGCTTAAGAAAAAAAAAACAAAGAATCTTCTTCATTTTCTTGAAACTTTAACAATTGCAACCGCATCATAGAACATATGAAATATACAACACAATTAAATTTACTTATCTACATAGCTACTAAACTAGAACTATATGAATACAATAACAAATTGAAAACAAAAGAAAACATAATTTTTTAAACAATAGAAAATGAAATAACCTCTACATAAATTAATAAATATACGTAAATGCCTCAAAATAAAAAAATGAAATTAAAATAATCATACTCCTCATCCTCATCCTCGTCCTCCTCTATCTCAGTCTCTACATGCTAGTTCCCTCCCTGACGTACATCATGTCACAACACATACATCCATCTGAGTGAGTTGAGAGGTAACTCGGGTCTATATAACTGTAGTGAATGTGACAACCTGCTTACGTCTCTTCCCAGCAAAGTAGCGATGTGTGTCATATGCTTGTGTGATGTGTATCAAATATGCATAATATAGTTATGTTATTTTTACTTTATTTTTTCTTCATTTGTGTATCTTTATATTTTTGTTGACCACGTTTTTGCATGAGATCCTTCCTTCTTTTTTTATCTCTAGAGCTTAGGGTTTAGCCTTAGTATTTCCTTAAAAGCTCGCCTAAGAAACTAGTGGTGGAACTAAAATCTAAAAAGAATTTCAAAAAATTCTTCATTCCTTAGGGTGTCTTAGGCTTGACTTCAAATTCTTAACCATTGGTTTAATTAGTTAAAGACAATCCATTGAAACATAAGTTCAGTACGCAAAAGATTTGAAATTCTTTATGAAACTCTTTGAAATAGGTCTCCTAGGCACTTTTTACTTCCCCTTCCCAACACGTAGGGTAACCCTTTCTTTAGTAAAAGAGCCCTTTAGGCATGAGGCTCAACTTGGATCAAGATGTGGCTTGTCCTTTAAAAGAGAAAAGAACACTAATTAAAATTCAAAGAAGCAAATTAAAATTAAAATTAAACAAAATCATATTAAAATTTCAAAAATCCCTTAAAAACAATATAAATTAATATTAAATCTATTAAAACAAATTTCAAAAAAAAAAAATTAATTAATTTCAATTTCAACAAAAATGAAATTCATTAAAAACATTTCAATTCAATCCACTAAAATCAATTTCACTAAAAATTAAACCTATTAAAATTAAGTTCAAGGAATTAAAATTAAACTTAAAATTAAATCTATTAAAATCAATATCAACATAAATATCTATCAAAATTAATTTCAACTAAAATTATTATTAACTAAAACCAATTTCACCAATGATTAAATCAGTTAAATTTAAGTTCAACAAAAACTAAACCAATTAAGATCAACCTATTATGATCGATTAAAATCACCTTATTAAAATTAATTCCAATAAAATCAATTTCAAAATATTGATAAAGGCTAAATCCTCAAAATTATTATTTTGCCGCTAAGGACCTAACACCTCAGAATTTATCAAATTTAATGCAAATAACTTTGAAATTTTATGTTACCCCACTCATAGGTTAATTAAAACATCATAGGAAAAAATATGATTTTTCTGAATTTATTTAATTTTATAATTATTTTTAATGCAAAAATAAAGATTTTTAATGAAAATTTAATAACTCAACCAAAATAAAACTCTTATCCTTAAGAAAATTATTGGTGGTTCACCTAGATCGGAGGACCACTACGTATTTTCATGATTTTTAGAAATTTAATAGAATTATTAGAATTATTTGTTTATTTTGAGTATTAATTAAATATAAAATATTAGTTAAGTGGAAAATTTTTTATTTTTTTCTTAAATCTTTCTGACTCCAGGAAACTTAAAGAAACAAATTTCATATTTTTGTAATTTACATTTTAATTATATTTTTGTGAAAAATTAAAGAAAATTCATTTTAAGCCTTTAAAAATTAATAGCTTGACATAGAAAATTAGGAAAATTATTTTAATTAGTTTCAAGTGATCAGCAAGTCAAATGTGACATTTTAATGTGTTTTTATAATTTTGCATTTCTTATGATTTTAAAATTAATTTTTTTAATTATTCAAATGCTTAAAATTGACTAAAAAATGAAGTGTTTATTTTAATTTCAATTTTATTTTTCTTAGATTCCTCTGGTCATGAGGAGCTCTCAAAACCAATTTGGTGATTTTTTGAATTGCATTTTAGTTATTATAATTATTTTAATGTCAAAAACGCAATTTCTTTTAATTGATTCATTTGTAATTGATTCATTTGAGTGGTCAAATTAACTCCAATTGACTTAAAATTTTTATGGGGAGTTTCTTTGATGTTAAATTACAATGAATAATGATTTTTATACCATTTACATTTATAATTATTCCTAATTAATTTTTATTCATTCATTTTTAGATTTTTAGGGGTTGGTGACAATTAAAATTATTTTTAATGAGTTAAACCAAGTTTATATTTTTCCTAGGATTCTCTGATCACAGTGAACTACCAAAAATAAGTTTTGTATTTTTTTTATGAGTATTTTTGATCAATATTTTAATTATTATAATTTTTATACCAAAACAGATACTATTAAGTTGAAAATTAGATATCTTTGATTAGAGATGCCCCCTGATCTTGGAAAAAATCAGGGGAGATACCTAACAACAGAGACATCAAAAGCTCCATGGTCCCATGCCATGGTGAAATGCCTATGCAAGTGGAGAATTCAAATAAAAAAAAACAAAGAAAAAACACCATTTAATTAATTAAAAATCATACCTACATAAAAAAAACATGAAACCATTTGCACATGATTCTCCTCTGTTCACTAAGCAAATGATTATTTTTATTTTATTTTTGTGATTTCTCTACACTAAGATATGCATTTTTGAAGTTCTGATATTTAAAAAAATAAGAAAAATCTCTATTTTTCTTTTTAAGTGACGCGACGCCACCTCAACCTAGGCAGATTCGAACTTTCCACGCGGCGTCTTCTGATTCAGCACCGCCAGCCACCTCAGCGCTGACTCGGCCCGCCTTTTTCGTTCCATTCATCTGTCTGGCGCAATCACGACCGTCCATTCGATACACGCGGAAATGGACGATATTCGTTCATCTTCCCCAAATCCCTAGCCCGAGAACCGTCCAATTTCAAACCTTAATATCTTTCTTCATATTTAACCAAATTAAGTGTGGTTTGTTCCTATAGACTCGTCTTGACTAGGAGAACATATCCATACGGTTCATCAAGTCTCAAATCAACCCTATAAGCATGGAGAATTAAATGAAGCGTGGTTTAAGGGGAGAGTACAATACCTTTACCTAAGACGTGTAGCCTCGATTGGGTGCTTCTGACTCGTCTTGACTAGGAGAACATATCCATACGGTTCATCAAGTCTTAAATCAACCCTATAAGCATGGAGAATTAAATGAAGCGTGGTTTAAGGGGAGAGTACAATACCTTTGCCTAAGACGTGTAGCCTCGATTGGGTGCTTCCAAAAGTTTGCCTTGAGTCCAAAGAACTCCTAGATGAAGCCTCAAGCTATAGTGAAATGCCTAAGTATGAAATCGACCAAGGCCGATTTAGGGGGTTGATCAAAGTATACCCTAGGGTGGTCTGGTGAGGGGGCTTTTGTAGGGGATATTCTTCTCTCACTCAGGAGATGGTGTGGGTGCAATTAATTTGGATTTGGTGAACTTTTGAGGAATGTCCTATTTCAAGCTCAAATTAGGGTTGAGAAATTGACTCTGATCAGTGGAGAAGAGGGCTGGAGATTGGTAGCATTGCACTGAAAGAGGTCTTGAAGAAGCTCTGGGAACAATTTGGCAGTCTCCCCAAGGAATTTCAAGCTCTCTCTCCTTGACCGTGGAGGGTGAGTTTAAATAGAGGGGGGAGGAGAGGCCACCATGGCTGGCCAGTGGGTGAAAAATGATTATTCGGTGGAGGAAAGAAAGGCTCCAATGGCCAATTGGACTTGTGCACATCAAGTGGGTTCTATTTTGAGTTTTAGCTCTTTGCTCCCCCTTGGCCATGGTGTTTTCTGGCAGCCAAGGTGGCTGGCCGGCCAGGGCCAGGTCACCATTTGGTCAGGGGGCTTAGGGCTTGGGTTTGTTGCAATCAATTGGGTTGGCCATGAGTAAAGGTCCTGGATTAAAGAGGAATGGGGAAAGTGTCATTTTGGGTCAAATTGGGTCAAAACATGGATTTAGGTTGGACTCAACCACCAAAGCTGGTTTGGGCTGAAAAGGAGATCATTTGGCTCAGCATAATCATTGGGGATAAGTCACCATCCAAAGAGATTTAGCTAAACATGGGTTAGAGTGTCATTAAAAGGGTTAAAACCTTTTTTAAGGAGACTTGAAAGTGGCTTGACCTCTTGCCATTAATAGCTCTGGCAAGGCTCATATGACTCACTTATGGCTTGAGAGTAGCTTCATGGCTTGCATGTGGCTTGGCTCTTTTGTATGAGAAAGGATTTTGAATTTTATGAGATATTTTGGTGGTGTTTGTCATGAGGCTTGATTTGGAATGATTTGATCATGAACTTAAGACTTAGGGAGTTATTTTAATGAAATGGATGATGAGGGGGAAAATTGTCATGTGGGCTTTTAATTGAATTTGGGCTTTTTGAATTAAACATGATGGGCTTGGGTTTTTTTAAAGGTTGAATTTGGGCTAAAATTTGGATCAATTGAATTTTAAAT